ATGTTTTTGATTTGCATTTTTCAGAATGAAAGATTCAACCGATTTCTATGATTTTTAGCATCCTTAAATCATGCATAAACAACAACGGATTTTTAAGAAAATGTTATTCATTTTCTTGTAGGTATAAAAACCTTAAGATATCGGCATACATTTAAAACTGCATTTTTACGAAAAATGTAAATAACTTCAAAATCCCACGACAGATTTTTTCCTAACTTCAGCAAATAAGCCTCAGAGCTCTCTAGTTTTACATCTGCAAGTTTGAAGGCAATTGAGACCGTAGAACTCGCTGCACAAAATGCTGGTCAAATTTAACCTTACAATGCTACGCTAACACATTTGTAAAAGTTGACGCACAAACAGAGGAAGACTGCCGACAGACTATCTCCTATCTGAAAGGATATTCCTACCTAAGCTTTATTGCAAGAAACAGAGTAATCAGAAACTTATGGTGAATACAGTTAGCACTTTAAGAAGAACAATTTTAAGCTGAGTGCACGGTGATATTAAAGAACTTCTATTCATCAAACTTACTTTGTATTTGTCCCTCTCTTTTGGAAACAAATCTTAATCATGAAAGCAAAATATTGCTTCTACGAAAAACTGTCAAGCGTTGCAGGTTCCTGTTATGAAGAGAAATAAAGCTACCAACTCCAGTACTTCTAACCACCCATTTTTCAGCTGAAATGAAAACCCTTGCATTTTGTAATTTATTCGCCCTTTTAAGACTTATACCTACACATCATTCGCAAGGACAGTTGGCTGTTGGGGATAATGAGAGTCAAATTTGTCTTCATCTTTATTTCCAATTCAATTCAATTCTTTATTTCACACTATATAAGATATTTACATAAGTATCCGTAGGTAGGAAAATAAAGAAGCTGACAAATAATAATTACTAAAAGACATTAAGTTCATTTGTGTACAGTGTCCAAAGTAGCAAGAGCTTTCTTCTTGGACACCGTCATGTTGAAATAATTGGCAGCAGTAAAGAGAGGAATAAAATCTCAGATAATATCAGTGATAGAACATATAAGCAAGGTAAACTTCCCCGTGCAAATGTGATGGCAAGTGATGTAAAAGTAGAGAGCTCTAAAGCTTATTTGCTGAAGTTAGGGAAAAATCTGTCGACGGATTTCGAAGCTATTTACATTATTAGTAAAAATGTGGTTTCAATATATTCCCGATATCTCAAAGGTTCTTTTATACCTACAAAAAAACAAATAACATTTTCTTAAAGTTCCATCATCATTTATTTGGTATGCCAAAAATCATAGAAATCGGTTGAATCTTTCATTCTGAAAAACACGCATACATAACCAACACGCATACAAATAGGTTCCGGCCACCTTAAGTTTATTTTAAAAGCGAATTGATTGAAACAAAGTTTTCAAGAGGGAGCAAAGATTGTGCCGAAACGACCTTTGTTTAAAACTCCGAGACTGCTGTTATCCTTATATTTCACCTACCTTCTTTTCAGTTAAAAAGTTCCCGATCGTCTTGTTTATTTCCTCGAGAATTTCATCGAGAGCTTCGTGAGTGATCCCGCATTCGCCATGACTGAAATTCCTCGTAAACGAGTCGAAAAGTTCGCTGTGGTTCCTGGGAGAATCGCAAGGTTGTTGACCAGAATTCTTTTCACGCCCTGGCAAAAGGCAGTACACAATCGAAGGGCTGACCTCTACAAACTCCGAGGAACTTAAGGCTTTTGACGGCGAGGATCCATGAATATCGCGCAATTCTATAGGGCTGAAACACTAAAAGAACAAAGCGTGAAAGTGAATGCACATAATGAAAAACCGCGTGGTCGAAGACATTGAGAAAGGGCAGCTTCGAAGATCGATCGGTCTTACGGGGTAAAAAAATCCAGTTATCTCCTCGTAATTTGAGCTTAGTTTTACTTTTTCATTTTTTTCTTTCTTATTAAAAATCGTCGTAATTAGTTTACAGAGATATATATTTTTTCGCTGGAAACTTTTACCGTACTAAGTTAAGTTTAAGACTTTTAAGTTTTAGTGTAAAATTTTCATCTTTTTGGGCTATTTGGTCCTATTTGTGCCAACAACACTCATCTTACCCTTCGGTAATCCGGACTCGGTTTGTTTGCAGAGCAGTTCAAGAAATGCAGCTTGTCAAATAGCCTCTGTAGATCATCTGACTTCAAGGAATCGCCATTAACAGCGTCCTGCAATTCTTTGAACGAGTAATGCACGTGATTTCGGCTTTCGTGTGAAAAAACAAACTCGTAAAGAGACAATTTTAAGTATAAGAAAACGCCAATTTTTAGGAAGAACATTTTAGTTTGGCTGATAAACAGTTTTCCGCTCCAAACGTTAACACACACGCTACACTTTTTCATCTAAGTTCCTTGTTCGGGAGAACAGGTGGCCGGAGCCCGGAGGGGGCGGGAAGGGTACGGGAGACGGGAGAAGAATGGGCGGGAAACGGGATCTCTACGATGGCGGGAACGGGAGAGAAATTCAAAAGGCAAGCTTTCGTTATTTTGTTACTGCTTACATCCAGTCAAAGAAACGAACCCAACAACGTTTGTTGACTTCTATTTAACGTCCTCCGAGGCTTAAAGAAAAATTTTATACACAAGTCAGAAAACGAAAATTCGTACTTCCTGTAACATTGGAAACCTTCCCAAGTCGCTTACATCATAGGACATGAATGAGATGGCATGACACACGTACACGTGTGTCGACTGTGTCAGTCGTAATAATAATAATAATAATAATAATAATAATAATAATAATAATAATAATAATAATAATAATAATAATATTTATTCGTACTTCCTTACATCATAGGACATAAATGAGATGGCATGACACACGTACACGTGTGTCGACTGTGCCAGTCATATCAGTGTCACGTCTGTTTCGCTAGCTGTCGAAATTCTCCGTAAGAACGACAAAGCGAGGCAGGTCAAATGTCGTCAAAGACCACCTTCCTGCCTTCCTTTGCGCAGACATTTTAATCGCGAGAGACGTCTGGGTACGAGGTAGGTCAAAGACCATTCTGATCGGTCTCGGTATTTTTGGATGTGGTGGGGAAAAATCCGTCCATGGAAGACCTTCCTTGGAGCTCGCTCCGTACGACTGTAGTTCACAAAACACTGAAGATTTTGCCGCGCGGTGTAAACTTATATTGAAGGAATGCCGCTTCAATGATCGCGCTGGAGAGTGCGGAGTGGTTCGATTTACAACACAATTTTTTTATTTCGGAATGAAGGCCAAAGCACTCCCTCCCTATTAGAATACGGAGTCAAACAGCGTGATTTACATGATAACGGGAGAAACACAATAAAGGGCGGGATTCGGGAGACAAAGGGACAAAAAAGTAGGGGAGGCGGGAGAACGGGGTACGGGAAGTGGGAGATTGTGACCCCTCCCTGTCCCCCCCTCACTTCCCTCGGTATTCGGACAACTTGCCCCCCAGACAATTAGCCCCCCGACAACTAGCTCCCACATTATGGACAATTAGCCCCCAACCTTATTGATATATTATGTGGCAGAACGTACGTTCAGTAGGAGTTCGGGGGTTCTGCGAGTCATATGTTTGACTTGCCGTGTTAGATTCACTAGTGATGGAGAATTGATCTGGAAATAGTCTTCCCTACTCTATATCAGGTCCTTCCCCAGGAAATTCGGACGTCAATCTCTTTGCGCAGGATCTGACACAACACGGTAGCCTTATGCAACGCCCAGGCATATGTTTCCCGCCCTTTGCTCTTGGTCGGCTGCTTACCGCGTCTTTCTGTTCTGGATGTTCACCCTAGAAAATACCGGTGGCAGTTACTTCATCGCAGCGCCAAAGTAAGTCTTGAAGATGACCTCACAAAAGGTGATCGTTGCCATCGAGGCAGGGATTGGCTTTTCACTCGGGGAATCCCGGGAAACCTCGGGGTTTTCTGGGTTGAAATTTGGCATTCTTTCTTGCACTAATGGATTTCTTGTGTCGGACCTATTAGCGCGTGGAGACATTTAAAGGCGATCTTTGCTTGTTAGAAAGATGTTGTAACCCTTTTAGGAGCTTCCTGTCAGGTGGTAAAACTGTTTCCTAGGGCGTACTATAGCTCTAAGTGTTTCAGGGGTACAACTGTCTGAAATCATGAACCATGTTCGGTAGACTCGCCGACATACTGCTTTGCCAAACTACTCTGGAGCTTCGGCTAAAGCTGGCTTCTAGCAATGTGATGGACGTTAATAGGATCAACTAAAGAGTTGCGTTTATTTGTTCTTCCATCAGCCGTTCATGGAAGAGACCCCCATCGAATTTTGTAAGGATTGGGGTGATTTCCTACGGAAATAAGATTGTTATAAGATGTTTGTGGGGCTTATGAAAGTAAAAGATGAACAGTATGGCTTCGGGGCGCTGAGCAATATTATTCCCATATCTTGTTTAAACTGAGCATGAATCTGAGTGTTGTGGAATAGATTACTATTCAGCCTGACCTGCAAAATTGAAGGTTCTACTAGTCATTCTACTTAAAATCCAACATTAAAGGAGTCGCGACATCGCATGATCTCCGAGCAACTGGTACAAACCGATGTGCCGGGCTCCCCAAGGTCAAAACGACAAGAAAATGAAGTCTTCTTCTCGCTTTGGGGTTCACAGACAACTACAAACTGATGTTTTAAAGCCTGGAACCAGGCTTTGTGGTGGGGCAAAAGCTTGGGGTGAAGCAGCATAAATCGGCTAGCGAAGCGAGCCGAGAAGTGGACCAAGTTAAATGAAGTTAAAGTGAGGATGACACATTGCTTTCTATATATTAAAAAATCAATTTTATTCTCACTCTGAAAATATCACTGTTTTTATCAAACACAATGCAAATTCAAAACGTGATTAAATACTACATAACATTTTCTTTTTACCCTTAAACATGATTAATAATTATATTAGCAGTATAAGCGAGCAATTTCACATAACCATTGACGAGGCCATATTAGCGCCCCGCAATGACGACTAATTTTACTGTTTTAGTTTCGTTTTGGCCACTCAATCATGGGCATTAATGGAATCACTCCGTGATATCAGTTACTTAATATAATTAGAAAATAACTAAGTTTCTTGAATAAAACATTCTTGATAATATCTTTCTAATGAAACATCTCTTGTATAAATAATAGCCAGTTTAGTAACTTCTTTTAAGAACAAAAATTTTCTCAGAACTAAACTATTAAAAATTTCAGTCTAATACAAATCGCAATATAGCCATCATCTGGTGATTGAAACAAAAATAAAATCAGACCTTAGTTTATACAGGGTATAAAAATAAAAGAAGTTATTTTCAAAAAATCGACAAAAAAAAAAAATTTTCCGGTGACTTTCCAGGAGTAGTAAGAAAACTAAGCCCTTATTAAAGAAATATGTTTACGTAGTACATGTATATTATCTATATGCTGGTAGACTGTTGGGGAAATCGTCTTTATCTTATACATATTCTTTCAACAGGTACCTTGGTCCCAGAGGTTTTTGTTGGAAATTTTTCTCCGCGGGATAGAGAACGAGACACGCGAAGAGGTGAAAACAAGTTGTAAAGCGGCAAGCAAGCGAAAAACCTCTGGTTACTTTGGACTTGCATCTCACTTTCATGCAAACAACAGGGTCAGAGTGTGCTGTGCCGACCTTAGGACGCTGATTGGTTGATAATTTTACAAACACCAAAATCAATTTGATTGGTTCGCATAATTTGAACTAACGATGGGACGATGAGGATATCTTTAGCTGTAGTTCGTTCTTAGGTAAATTTTGTCTGTCTCTATACCAGAGAAAGAATTTATTTTTCCAAAATATTACACGTGCTGTTGTTGCGTGTTGTTGGGAGTTGTTGCCCAAAGATTGAAACCAGTCAAACGTTTCGCTGCCCAACAATAGTGGGAGTCGTTGCGTCCGTTTGCAAGTAGCTTTAGAGGAAAATTTTAACTTGCTACTCGCGACTAGTCTTTGTCGCTTCGCGCAGATCGTTCTCTTTCACGTGGAGAAAACCTTCAAGAAAAACCTGTGGGACCAGGGTATCCAACAGGCTACTTCTAAAACACTAAAATTAAACCAACTTATCTTCCCCAATTATTTCGCGATCTTGCTGCTAGTTCCCTTCTTTTTTCGTCTGAACGTGCCTCCATTCACTCACACAACACTACATATTATGTAAGTTGTGCTAGAAATTAATTGCCATTAAGTCCTCTTCATAAAGCGCAATTATCAACATAATGGCGAATCCAAGGACCAAACCGAAGTTCTGTAACAAGAACGTAGCAACAGGTTCTGCTTGAAGAGTTTCGCTGTGCATCAGGTCAGGAAGCTGTGTTCAAGAAAAAAAAAACATAAAAATCATCAATTAATGTCATCGCCGAAGATGAGCTGTGAACCTGCGAACCACTGACAAGTTGCGCCATCAAAACGAAGAGATTTCAATGTAAAACTACTTACTGGCTTAAGAACAGCTACAGGGTATGTCACGAAAAGATCTTTTGGGTGACTTCCATGACAACCATGGGCGATAACCTTATTCCGGATATCACTGAGACCTCATCCAACAACAAATTTGTTTAATAGCTGAGGAACCCCATAACGTAGACTGCAAAACAGTCTTTGTTTTTCTCACTTTCTCAAAATTGGTTTAGCGTGGCTCAAGAGCCTCACCTGTGAGGCGTGTGATGCGAGAGAAAAGAAAAACGTATTTTTAGCGTCTCTCCCCAGTCTCGCTCGCCGTTTTCAGCCTCTCTCGACTACTCGCACGTACTTGAATACGCGAAAATACGGACTGTTTGGCAGTCTACCCATAACGTTGTTTCATCCTAAATTGTCCATTGGGAAACGGACAGCAAGAAGAGACTTTCCATAAATTAAAGTGATCTCATTATCGATACTCCTAAAACACTTACCATGTCCACCAATGCGACATAAAGGAACATTCCACCAGCCACAGCAAATATCCAGAAACGCACATCAGCTTCTTGACCAACGTATATACCAATTGCTAAGCCAATATAACAAGACAAGGCAGAAAGCAAGTTGGCTAATAAAGCCATCTTGACTGTCATGCCAGCTGTCAGCAAAACTGCAAAGTCCCCTGTGACACAAGGAAAAAGAAAAGAAAATTGACTTAAGTTTTATTAAAACCATTGTGGGATAATAACACTACTTCCAGGCTGTAAAAATTTAAAATACTGGTACAGCACAAATGTCTTCCCTTATCAATTTATTTAACGTCATGATTAATACAAAAACCAGTGGTCTTTTCTGCGGAGCTCCACGCCCGTGTGAGCAGAGCCCCATACGTAAGAAAATTTGGTAATCTATCCAGCTAAGAAATTTTGGTCATCACGTGACCGAACGTCCGTCCGTCCGCGCCACAGGACAACCAATGTGAAATGCCTCTAACCGGTATTTAACTTGATAATAGACAGTCATCCATATTATGCTCAATTGACCGCTGTCAAAACAAGGTATCCGCTGACCAGAGTCACATGACCGTATCACGGGCTCAGGTGCCAACTCATTGAGGCCACGTGCCTTTTTGAAGTTTTCCGCTGACCAGTTGTTAGCTTTTAATTGATAGTAGACTAAAGTTTATGTTTTTCAGTCACATGGTTCTCCCCTAAAGCTAAGTATAGATTTGTGGATTTCTTTGCAATGGTCTAAAATTCCATTGCCTGAAGTAAATTTAAAATGCATAAATGGGAGCTTCGCCTTCAGCTCTGGCCAATTCTATAATAATCCTATGCAAAATTCAGGTGATGTATCAGGGTGCAAAGAAAGTCAGTTTACTTATAGCTAGCATGTAATAACCCAAAAGTCATTTCAACTGTCCTGGACAGGAAGGATTGATTACAGTTCTTCTGTAACAACTTGAATTTTACAATAATCTTCTCTTGCCCATCAGGCAAGTTAACAACTGAATTTACTAGCCCAATGGAAAAATGCACTAGCCCCACGCTATCCAAACTACTCCCTTTGCACACAGTGTATCTTTAACATAAATATTACATAAGTAAATAATAAATGTTACAGATTAGTAACCAACAATACATGTCTGCTAAATACATCATTTTGTTTGTAGTGATCTCAGATGTCAGTAGAGATGCCACACTGGCTGCCAATATCAGACCAGTTTTTAATTTAGAACCCTTTGTGGTCCTGAGCTTATTTGGGGCATCATGTAACATCTGCAACCAATAGAGGGATACTTACAATGTAAATTTAAAAATCATCAAGATAGTTATTTACCAAGTTCATGAGGCAGCTCATGACAAAACACAGCAATAGAAGTACTGATTCCACCAGAAACACCCGAGCTACCACCTTCTGCGAAAGCGGCACCAATGGCCAATCCATCACTGATGTTATGGAGAGTATCTCCAATGATTATCATCCATGCATCTTTCACGTGGAGAAAACCTTCAAGAAAAACCTGTGGGACCAGGGTATCCAACAGGCTACTTCTAAAACACTAAAATTAAACCAACTTATCTTCCCCAATTATTTCGCGATCTTGCTGCTAGTTCCCTTCTTTTTTCGTCTGAACGTGCCTCCATTCACTCACACAACACTACATATTATGTAAGTTGTGCTAGAAATTAATTGCCATTAAGTCCTCTTCATAAAGCGCAATTATCAACATAATGGCGAATCCAAGGACCAAACCGAAGTTCTGTAACAAGAACGTAGCAACAGGTTCTGCTTGAAGAGTTTCGCTGTGCATCAGGTCAGGAAGCTGTGTTCAAGAAAAAAAAAACATAAAAATCATCAATTAATGTCATCGCCGAAGATGAGCTGTGAACCTGCGAACCACTGACAAGTTGCGCCATCAAAACGAAGAGATTTCAATGTAAAACTACTTACTGGCTTAAGAACAGCTACAGGGTATGTCACGAAAAGATCTTTTGGGTGACTTCCATGACAACCACGGGCGATAACCTTATTCCGGATATCACTGAGACCTCATCCAACAACAAATTTGTTTAATAGCTGAGGAACCCCATAACGTAGACTGCAAAACAGTCTTTTTTTTTCTCACTTTCTCAAAATTGGTTTAGCGTGGCTCAAGAGCCTCACCTGTGAGGCGTGTGATGCGAGAGAAAAGAAAAACGTATTTTAGCGTCTCTCCCCAGTCTCGCTCGCCGTTTTCAGCCTCTCTCGACTACTCGCACGTACTTGAATACGCGAAAATACGGACTGTTTGGCAGTCTACCCATAACGTTGTTTCATCCTAAATTGTCCATTGGGAAACGGACAGCAAGAAGAGACTTTCCATAAATTAAAGTGATCTCATTATCGATACTCCTAAAACACTTACCATGTCCACCAATGCGACATAAAGGAACATTCCACCAGCCACAGCAAATATCCAGAAACGCACATCAGCTTCTTGACCAACGTATATACCAATTGCTAAGCCAATATAACAAGACAAGGCAGAAAGCAAGTTGGCTAATAAAGCCATCTTGACTGTCATGCCAGCTGTCAGCAAAACTGCAAAGTCCCCTGTGACACAAGGAAAAAGAAAAGAAAATTGACTTAAGTTTTATTAAAACCATTGTGGGATAATAACACTACTTCCAGGCTGTAAAAATTTAAAATACTGGTACAGCACAAATGTCTTCCCTTATCAATTTATTTAACGTCATGATTAATACAAAAACCAGTGGTCTTTTCTGCGGAGCTCCACGCCCGTGTGAGCAGAGCCCCATACGTAAGAAAATTTGGTAATCTATCCAGCTAAGAAATTTTGGTCATCACGTGACCGAACGTCCGTCCGTCCGCGCCACAGGACAACCAATGTGAAATGCCTCTAACCGGTATTTAACTTGATAATAGACAGTCATCCATATTATGCTCAATTGACCGCTGTCAAAACAAGGTATCCGCTGACCAGAGTCACATGACCGTATCACGGGCTCAGGTGCCAACTCATTGAGGCCACGTGCCTTTTTGAAGTTTTCCGCTGACCAGTTGTTAGCTTTTAATTGATAGTAGACTAAAGTTTATGTTTTTCAGTCACATGGTTCTCCCCTAAAGCTAAGTATAGATTTGTGGATTTCTTTGCAATGGTCTAAAATTCCATTGCCTGAAGTAAATTTAAAATGCATAAATGGGAGCTTCGCCTTCAGCTCTGGCCAATTCTATAATAATCCTATGCAAAATTCAGGTGATGTATCAGGGTGCAAAGAAAGTCAGTTTACTTATAGCTAGCATGTAATAACCCAAAAGTCATTTCAACTGTCCTGGACAGGAAGGATTGATTACAGTTCTTCTGTAACAACTTGAATTTTACAATAATCTTCTCTTGCCCATCAGGCAAGTTAACAACTGAATTTACTAGCCCAATGGAAAAATGCACTAGCCCCACGCTATCCAAACTACTCCCTTTGCACACAGTGTATCTTTAACATAAATATTACATAAGTAAATAATAAATGTTACAGATTAGTAACCAACAATACATGTCTGCTAAATACATCATTTTGTTTGTAGTGATCTCAGATGTCAGTAGAGATGCCACACTGGCTGCCAATATCAGACCAGTTTTTAATTTAGAACCCTTTGTGGTCCTGAGCTTATTTGGGGCATCATGTAACATCTGCAACCAATAGAGGGATACTTACAATGTAAATTTAAAAATCATCAAGATAGTTATTTACCAAGTTCATGAGGCAGCTCATGACAAAACACAGCAATAGAAGTACTGATTCCACCAGAAACACCCGAGCTACCACCTTCTGCGAAAGCGGCACCAATGGCCAATCCATCACTGATGTTATGGAGAGTATCTCCAATGATTATCATCCATGCCACAGTGGAAATAGTTTTGAATGATGGCTTTTCTTTTTCTAATTCATCCCTGAAAACGGAGCGGCGTGATAAGCTGCGTTGAAGGCTTTTCTTGCGATTATTTGTTGTATTTTGATGACCTTGGGGAACTCTGTCTTTGGGTTCTTCAAAACCATCTTTGATATCCTGTTCAAGATTAAGAAATTTGCTTTCTTAGAATATTACAAACTCTCAGTTCAGATTTTAGAAATTTTCAATAAAAACAAAGAAAATAAAAAAAGGACTCTTTCAGTTCTGGTCACTTTTTTGTGATTTGCAGCTGTGAATAATGTTGCCAGCTCCAAAAACCTTTGAGCTCTTTCATATATGGAGCTAGAGATATGAGGCTGGTTATTGTAACACAGACGCAAAAAGAACAAAAAGTATAAAAAACTACAACATGTCCCTTGGTGCTCCAGGTCTGTCTGGTGTATTAGTAGTGGGTTGCAAATTATGGAATGAAAAAGTTACTTAAACAAAAAAAAAATTATGAGAATCTGCTGTTCAAGTGGCTCATCGTTACATAAATTCACATGATACATATGTTTCAAAGTCATTAACAATGTCTGTTTCCTGCACAGATACGCTTTTTAATCATTCTTTGTTGGTGTTTCTGAATTTCAAATAATTACTGACAATTTGCTCGTTTACTACAATTTAGTGTTACATCTAGTATTGCAGAAACTAAAGGAAATTAATGGTTCACTGAAATTATTCATTTGAATATCACAGATAGACTACATTGTAATCTTTCACACAGACATGGGAGAATTAATTGTTCAGAACTGATAAGCAACTGGCCAATAAAACATGAATGACTCGAAGAAAATTGATGTTTATAAGTTACTTCTGTTGATCTTTGATTATTTCAGTTTATTGATGCTTAAATACCAGTTACACGTTTATGCCACCTTTTTAATAATGACATTCAAATTAATATCAGTATTATTGTTCTTAACATTAATTACCTCATATTCACCATCATCAGTATCTGTACCAGATACATGTTCATAAACACAGTGGGAATGTAATGTACAAGAAGGACTTGTAATGCTGCTGCTACTAAAATTCTTTACGGAACCATCCTTTTGTGACAGAAGACCAACGTTATAACATTAACTTAAATTACCAATTTTACGTCATTGATTAATATCATTGCATATAACTGTAACATTTAAAAAAACATGGACAGAACTTTAGCTATAAATTTTTTTTAATGGTACATAAATTATTCTAATATCAAGCTGGATATTACAGAAATTTTAAATTTAAAATTGCTTTTAAACATGTACTTTATTAAGTCAAAACATTCAGTCAATTTAGAATGTCAGACTCCTTATGTCACTGCATCAGACTTCTTTATATTTAATTCAGGATCATAAATTTCAAGATTATGGACCAGATTATTGACCAAAAAAAATCATAACAATATTATTAATCCCTTCAGCTGAAAGATAAATATTTTTCTGATTGCCCTGTGGTACTGGAACCAAAGTTTAAAACAAATTGGCAATTTGACTTTTTTAATGATCCTTAACTTTCACCAGAAGCACTGGAGTATGACACCACATATACATGTAAAAAAGATAATATACAACACCTTATAAAAGTGTTATTTCTGAAGTACAGAGGTATATCCTTTATGATTACTTTTATTATAAAGGGTTTTTACTTATTGTTTGTCTTATAATAGTCACTTAGACATTGCTCGTGACATTTTGATCAAGTACAGGGTTTCATCAACCAACAGTGTTGATTTACTGAGTGGGACTATGATTTTGTTCATCGTGGTTGTTAGTGATTGGTGTACCATGAACCTTGATCATGGTTGGTGGATCAGTATATTATTAAATTTATTATTAATAATTATATCCTCCAATTAAATCAACATTTGATTTGTATTCTACACTTCTACACTTTTTGTATCCAACTTCTGATGCCATGTAAAGAATTCGCTCACATTCTTAAACATCAACTTGAATAAAAATAAGAACATAGTGAGCTCATGAGCGGCCATGACACTAAACTGTTACAAAGTAAGCCTGAGTTTGCACGTGTAAATGCTAAAATCTAGATGGATGCTAAAACAATGCAATATTGTCACACTCACCATGTTTGTTAGAACAATGTCACCATTTTCCATGGGAGGCTTTTCATCACTGTTACCAAGCGGATGATCTCCTTCATGATGCTCTAGCCTGGAACATTTCCTTTGCTTTTTAAAGCTCATGTGCCGACTTGAAGGTCCAGGAAGCTGTACAAAAAATGGAGCTTACATTAAGCCAAAAGGAAAGCATCACTCCTTAAATTCCTTATGCAAATATGGTCATGTGATGTTTGAAAATAATCAAACAACCAGGCCACCAAGTTATCTGTGATCAGTAAATGGCCATTTTCCAGTTTAGAAATGAGAGGCAAACCAGGCCCAGTTAACTACTGCAAAGACTTCTGGAACTGTTACTGGGGACAGGGAAACAACTTGGCCAATAGCTCAATAGTGTGTCCCCAGTAACGATATCCCAGAAGTCTTTAGGAAAGCTAAGCTCACCAAGTTTCCTTCTTGTTTCAGAAGTTGGGAAATGGCACAGTAAGACTGTACATGCACATTGTATATAATTAGATCAGAATGCATGGCCTACTCAACAAATCCACTCTTACAGCACTCGCTCCTCCTCTTCTGGAAATTATTACATTAGCCACTCTAGACTAAATCAGAAAAATGATTCGTTTTCTATTATGGGAGCCAAAATTTGGAATAGTATACCTGAAAATTTACGAAATTCTTCAAAATCTCTCTTTAAGGAAAAAGTTCATACAATTCTGTTGAAAATATTTGAAGTTCAGGATAGATATGCTGACCTAAACACGATAATCTCCGATTTTAAAAAATATTAGCCCCCGCTTATCTAAATAGCTGCCTCGATTTTCTTATCTCAATTTCTCTCGTGACTGACCTTTTTTATTATAAATATGGTACTTTTTCACTTCAACTATTCGTAATAAATCTTAAGCCGTCTACACACCACCTGCCTCGATTAGCCTTGCTATTTGCAGGTGGTGTGATATTTGTATATTTAATGTAAGAAATAAAGATGTTGTTGTTGTTGTTGTTGTTGTTGTAATCTTGGTTTCCAAAGAATGGCTAATGATATATAACAGAAACAATGTTGGGATCATTATACGTCTCTGCGAAACTGCTCACCTACCCCTCCCCTAAGCCAACATGAACACTTACTTCTCACTTTGGGCAAAATGTTGGCTTAGGGGAGGGGAAGGTGGGCAGTTTCCCAGAAACGTATAATAATCCCAATGTTGGACTCGTTTGCTGTTTGCAAAAGCATATTCAGTATTTTTAAAAATTGTTAACTTTAAAGCCTAAGGATGAAATAACTTAAGTGTCAGTGATGGTTCAAAATTAATGAAAGCCACTTTGCCGTGGTACTGTTTATTACACAAAGCATCATATGCATTGTTAAGCTGGTTTGGATTTTGAGTTTGACTGTTTAATCCAATGGCATGATCATTCAAATGAAACCTCTTTGTTTGCAGCACTTACATGTACATGTACCTAAGGAAAAATAATATTCTTTTTGTTTACACTGATTAAAAAAGATATCTCAAAACTTACGATCATTTTACTTTAGGAGTTTTCAGGTCTAAAACAGTACAGTAAATATTGTATTATTACTGACCTCAACATCAATGTGGCTGTGGCCACCATGATCTCCAACTTTGCTCTTTAAACAAAGATGCATCAAAGTTTCAAACAAGAAAAATCCATAAATGGAAAGCAGCACCACCAGGGCTTTCCAAATGAATCCCTTCTCTTCTGAATGATCAGCATGGCTGTCACCTTCAGCTGTATCTTCATGTTGGTGGAGACCAAATGCCTGGTAGCAAAATGATTTAGTTAATTTATAATTATTTTATAATTACAAGACACCACTTTCAGGATTTTAGCAAAAAGCTAACTTTAACTAGAAGTGAAACACTTAAACCTTCAGAGGTTTTCAGAACAGCTGGGTAATAACAATAAGACCTTTCATAAAATAACTTAAATAGTACCTACGTTCTGATTGGTTAAAAACCTATGGTTTATTGTGGCGGTATACTCACAGAAAACTTTCAGTTATTTTATAGAAGCAATAGACCACACTTTCTATGGGTTTACCGGTGTGATAACCCACTTAGGATGTTGGGAGAACGTTTGAAAATCACTCTCCTTTGGCTCATGATTTACAAGCTTTTCTTGAGTTCTCCCAACATCCCACGTGGGTTATCACGCCAGTAAACCCATAGAAAGTGTGGTCTATAACTTAAGTTTACACTTTTTGTAGGGCCAAAAACTTGTATAGATCTACCTTTCGTTTACATGGGACATATGAAACCACGCAAGTTCTTGAATTGCAAAGTGTGCAAGGTTTTGATCTATTTAGAAGTACATGTAGGTAAAAAGTTTTGACTAGTATGGTTCCACTTTTATGCTGATTCCTGTAACCTGAAGGTGCAAATTTTTACAAACTTTTTAGTGCTAAAAGCCTGGAGTCTAGTTGTGTGGCTTACGTAAGTCTGACTCCTGTGAACAATTATTAAAGCAATCTGTAATGGAATGTGCACATTTCTGCATAAACAGGTTGCACAAAATAAATTTGTCTGGACCTTTTTAAACAGGGTCTATGGGCAACTTACATGAGGTAAGAGATGAAGTAAGCTGTCTCCAGCAAGAGTTCCCACAGCAAGAGCCACCAACATCGCCAAGATCTTCCTGTACATTTTCTTTCCCAGAAATGGAATAGTAGCCACGCCCATTAAAGATGTAAGGCTGATGATAGTCACAGCGGCAAAGCCATAACCCCAGACTGGAGATAAGAAACAAAACCAAAAACATCAACAAGTTTAACAAGTACAACGCTTGCTATCAGAACTCTCAAAATTAATGAAGGCATTCCTATTATATTTTAAACAAAATATCACAAAGAAAAAGGTTCCCTAGAAAAATTAATACAGATACAGTCCTTGGTATTAAGAACAATTTTCTTCAGCCCAGCCAAAATTACAGTAAAATGTAATGTATGGAACAGAACCTTGATTTCATGAACCTACAATACTCGTCACAAACCGTTGAAACAGGAGCCATTTGTCTTGAATTTTCTCCAGATTTCTTACACTCACTCCTGACATCTTCGCTCTCACTTGAATTTGCCCCTCTCCTTCCCCAATGTTGAGCCACGCGTATTTTGGACCAGTGAGACCACTGTAATACCCAAATCAACATTGGGGAAGGGGAAAATCACACAAGTGTTTCAAGATTTGTGACGAGTATTGTCTTTGCGTTGGGAGGGCGTGGACGGGTAACGAAACGTATGAAGGGTAACTTTGCCACCTTTAGTGTTAATAATGTCATCAGTATTCTTGTTGTTACTGTTCTAGATGTAAAGTCGGACTAATAATTATATAGCTGGTATGCATACTATTGATTATGAACGATTTCAAGGTACATTTCTCCAAAACCACTTCAGTGAAAGGGCTGTGCCTCAAAGTACATCGGCATTGGACAAGGGGTGCATATTTCAAGACCGAAGGGGAAGAAAAATTACTCAAACATATGGCAATGGAGACGATGTTTGGTGATTTTTACATAGCAGAAAGAATTTTTTGGAGCCATTTTATCACTTGAAACTGATTTCGTATTTACGGTGACATACTTTTCTTGCGAGCTTGTGGGAGAGAATGATAGAGAATATCGCTAATTAGTCGTTATCTGAAATAACTACACAGAGGTGTCAGATGAAAACGGAACCCTTTCCTTCTTTTTCTATGATCTTAAAGGTTCTATGTACAAAGATGAGCTAACTATGTAGAGAAATACATTATTAAACGAGATCATTCGTTTTAACGAGCTATCTATCTTTGAAGCGCAAAATCTCAACGATTCACCACTGTGTCCTACCGTAAAGTAATTATAGTACCATAGACTTTATGAACTATCGGTTCACCATGGTGAACCGGTTCAAATAGCATTATTGAATATGTTCATGAAGAAAATTTTCCCTTATCTGTATGTTCTATGATCTTCTCTATAATTCCAAACACTTATAGATGCAGTAGCTGTTGTTTTTAAGGGCTAAAAAGGCAAAGAATTTCCCGAACACCATGGTGAATCGTGTTACACTCAAGCTGCAGCAAATAATGTCAACAACCTCAGCAATATTTACATAAGATCCCATTAATTTAATTAGTCCTCTTGCGGGAAAATATTAAAGACGACTAAGACATTTTCTACAAGGAGAAACGAATTTTAGCCGTTCCTCGGATATTTGATTGAAGAGATTGAATACTTGCCACCCTAATTTTATCTTCGGATTCTTCCTCTCACCGACAACTCCTTCTCTCACAAAACCGAGTTCATCTTTATTTGTACAAAATATCGGCGTATCTCCCTGGTCAGTATAAAATATCATGGAGGCTGTGTTTTTTCACTTTCCCCAGTCAAGAAGCATTAAGAACTCATGCCATGGAATGATCTTCACAGACAACCGAAAATGGTTTTAAAACACTACTTCGGAGCGTCTCTGCATTACTCTATATATTACATATGTACTTTAAATGCCTTACTTCCATCTGTCATTCTGTCCTACGCGAAAAATAATTCAACATACTGTTTTTCTTTTTAATTTTACTTTATGTACACGACAAAAAACACGTATCTTCGATCAACGGTCCCAAAAATTCACCTTGATCTGAACCTGTCATTATTTCCTCTCTTCCGACTAAATACAATACTCGTCACAAATCGTTGAAACAGGAGCCATTTGTCTTGAATTTTCTCCAGATTTCTTACACTCACTCCTGACATCTTCGCTCTCACTTGAATTTGCCCCTCTCCTTCCCCAATGTTGAGCCACGCGTATTTTGGACCAGTGAGACCACTGTAATACCCAAATCAACATTGGGGAAGAGGAAAATCACACAAGTGTTTCAAGATTTGTGACGAGTATTGTCTTTGCGTTGGGAGGGTGTGGACGGGTAACGAAAGGTATGAAGGGTAACTTTTTCCACCTTTAGTGTGAATAATGTCATCAGTATTCTTGTTGTTACTGTTCTAGATGTAAAGTCGGACTAATAATTATATAGCTGGTATGCATACTATTGATTATGAACGATTTCAAGGTACATTTCTCCAAAACCACTTCAGTGAAAGGGCTGTGCCTCAAAGTACATCGGCATTGGACAAGGGGTGCATATTTCAAGACCGAAGGGGAAGAAAAATTACTCAAACATATGGCAATGGAGACGATGTTTGGTGATTTTTACATAGCAGAAAGAATTTTTTGGAGCCATTTTATCACTTGAAACTGATTTCGTATTTACGGTGACATACTTTTCTTGCGAGCTTGTGGGAGAGAATGGTAGAGAATATCGCTAATTAGTCGTTATCTGAAATAACTACACAGAGGTGTCAGATGAAAACGGAACCCTTTCCTTCTTTTTCTATGATCTTAAAGGTTCTATGTACAAAGATGAGCTAACTATGTAGAGAAATACGTTATTAAACGAGATCATTCGTTTTAACGAGCGATCTATCTTTGAAGCGCAAAATCTCAACGATTCACCACTGTGTCCTACCGTAAAGTAATTATAATACCATAGACTTTATGAACTATCGGTTCACCATGGTGAACCGGTTCAAATAGCATTATTGAATATGTTCATGAAGAAAATTTTCCCTTATCTGTATGTTCTATGATCTTCTCTATAATTCCAAACACTTATAGATGCAGTAGCTGTTGTTTTTAAGGGCTAAAAAGGCAAAGAATTTCCCGAACACCATGGTGAATCGTGTTACACTCAAGCTGCAGCAAATAATGTCAACAACCTCAGCAATATTTACATAAGATCGCATTAATTTAATTAGTCCTCTTGCGGGAAAATATTAAAGACGACTAAGACATTTTCTACAAGGAGAAACGAATTTTAGCCGTTCCTCGGATATTTGATTGAAGAGATTGAATACTTGCCACCCTAATTTCATCTTCGGATTCTTCCTCTCACCGACAACTCCTTCTCTCACAAAAGCGAGTTCATCTTTATTTGTACACAATATCGGCGTATCTCCCTGGTCAGTATAAAATATCATGGAGGCTGTGTTTTTTCACTTTCCCCAGTCAAGAAGCATTAAGAACTCATGCCATGGAATGATCTTCACAGACAACCGAAAATGGTTTTAAAACACTACTTCGGAGCGTCTCTGCATTACTCTATATATTACATATGTACTTTAAATGCCTTACTTCCATCTGACATTCTGCCCTACGCGAAAAATAATTCAACATACTGTTTTTCTTTTTAATTTTACTTTATGTACACGACAAAAAACACGTATCTTCGATCAACGGTCCCAAAAATTCACCTTGATCTGAACCTGTCATTGTTTCCTCTCTTCCGACTAAATACAATACTCGTCACAAATCGTTGAAACAGGAGCCATTTGTCTTGAATTTTCTCCAGATTTCTTACACTCACTCCTGACATCTTCGCTCTCACTTGAATTTGCCCCTCTCCTTCCCCAATGTTGAGCCACGCGTATTTTGGACCAGTGAGACCACTGTAATACCCAAATCAACATTGGGGAAGGGGAAAATCACACAAGTGTTTCAAGATTTGTGACGAGTATTGTAGATTAACGATATCCTCGTTATAGCAAACACAATCCAGAAGGCCCAATCGTAAAATATACCCCATAACATGACCTATAACATGCACCCTTACTTTTTCCCATATGCTTTTCTGGATCTGTTTTTGTTTGGTTTGACTGGTTAGACTGGTTAGACTGTTGCTTGCAAGCTCCACTCTTTGCTTGTTGAATAAAAGCAGGGCAAAGCTGTTTGAAGTCATAATCATCTGCTCCAATGGAGTGATCAATGTCAAAAACTGTCAGCATCTCATCGACTGAGTAACACTAAAAAACATGAACATTCTTTGTAAACAAGTAATTGATCATTGTTCAGGAATACATATTATATTGCGTAAATCTAAGATACAGTTTAAGTTGAAAAGTCTGTTATATATACAGTACAATAGACACAATCTAAGAAGTTATAAGTTATATAAGGTCATACAAGTAAAGTGTACTAATTTCAACTTCTTTCCAAAGAACTGGGAATTCTTGCTGGTTTTTAAGGTTAAAGGGTTAATTACTGTGAGAACTTAGTAAGGTTTGCTCAGCCAAGTATACAAATGCCTCAAAAAAGACGGAAGTTCCTTTACTGTACAATACATGGAACCCAGAAAGATTTGAGTGACTCAAAGACAATAAGGGGGAGGGGGACTTTGTCTCAAGGATGACAATCAAGCTTTATTAAACTCAATTTATAAAGGTACCTTAAAAGCTTAAAAGGATTCATTAAGTTTAATAAGATTGTTTTGGAATGATCTGGATCAAGATCAAAAGAACCAATGAATCCTTTTCCAGGGTGGATTTGTGGGTTCCTTTGATGGGCAATGATCTGACTGACCTCAAATCACTGATCCTGGTCCGGATCATACCAATGGAAAGCACCCTAAATGTAGGATAGGTGAGTATAGGCAGGGCTTCTGATTTTTCGTGCCATCGCAGAGCAGCGAAATTCAGGTAAATCCACAAAATCCAGCGAAATTCGGTAGAAATCTTACTAAATACATGTCTGTACAGCAATTTTGAAACTTGTCTCAGCTACTGGGGATATTTACATGCCGTAAACTTGCAAATTTATGCCAAAATTTTGTCACCAAAACGTGCAAACAATGTTCCGAAACTCCCAAGCATAGATTATGTTGCGAAAAACTGGGCACTAGCCATGATGTTAAAGGCTTTGCCATTCGTTCATTTGTGGAGCGTATTGTTGTTGAAAGAGCAAATGATGACCTCTGTTAGAAAAACATTAAAAATGCTGGTCTGATTGGCGCAAAACTGATCGATTTCTAGCAGAATTTGCTCTGAAAATAACCACAAAATCTGCCGTCTTTTTTACCGATTGCTTTCCCGCTAAGTTTGCCCCGAAAATTCCTGTGAAATCGGCCGTTTTTTCCGCGATTTTGTCCCTAAAAATCCCGCGAAATTTGACTTTTTTTCTGCGACCTACATGTATCAGAAGCCCTGTAAAGGGGTAAGGAGGAGGCTTGATGTTTGAGTAGCACCTACACTGCCACTTCCACCACTACTGTGAGTGTGAGAATCAACTGCACGGCGATGAAGGTTGTGAGATGCTGCAGATTCCTCTTGTGATGACACAGCAGATGCAGCAGACCTTCGGTGTCTGTGGTTATGGCCATCATGGCTGTCACTTGAAGATGAGGCTGTCGACTCAGAAGATATCTTTCCAATACCAAGACTTTCAGCGATGCTTTCTAAGTCTTCTTCAGAAAGGTGCTCTTTGCCATTAAAAAGTTCTTTAATGAAGAATTCTTTTAATGGTAGATTAGATTTGGTCTCGTTGTGTCCGTGACCTTCCTTGATACAGTATCCTTTAACCAGATGCAGGATAATGCTGGCACAGGCTTTCTCAAAATCATGTTGATCAAGAACCTTTTCTTCTTCATGACTGTGTTCATGTTCCCCGTGATGGTGGCCTTCCTCTTCTATCTCTTTAAAAATGTCTTCCGCTGAAAAACACTGGTAATATAAAGAAGAATATTAGATCTTTGATAGCATTTAGACTTGGTAATTCAGTAGTTTGCTTAGGGGGGTTTCAATGAGCACCGACAACCAGTGAAAAGTGTCGGCTACATGTTCATTGCTCAGAGAAGTTGGCTACTTTTTCCCCCCAAAGAAGCAGCAACTAGTTCAAATAATGTCATGGACAAAACTAGAATTTGTTCACGCGAAAATGTATGTAACTTAGTAAATTATCATTTGTTCATAATTTGCTTGTAGGAGTTCATTGCGTAGCTAATAAGCAAAATTTGACTTAAACTCAAATCTTCTTGAATGGAAAAGTCGCCCCCAGACACCCCTTGAAAACGTGGACTACACTAGCTGGCTCCTTGTTGACACAATCAGCCACTCTATTCAAACCTGTTGGCTACTTCAATTTTTATTGAAACCCCTGTTTGCTGATTGTGAAGATTCAGACTTGTGATTCGGTATGCACTAATACCTAATCCCCACTGCTACTGATAGCAATGTTAACATAGTATTTTTAAAAAATTATAGGGTGCAGAGAATGCCCTGTTTGTTTGGCAGTTTCTATAATGAAACAGTTACAGTGTGACTACTCAAACTGGGGCAATTAAAAGAAGATTGTCCAATCACAACGATATCTGAAAACAAAGGATTCTCAAGTTATTTTGCAAACAGGCCAATAAAAGTCAAGATTTAACTATGCAACCGCTGAAAACTTTCCAGTGCAACTACTCAAACTGGGGCACTTGGAAGCAGACTACCCCACCATGTTGTTCTTTGAAAACAAAGATTCTCAAGTTGTTTTACAAACGGACCAATAAAACTCAAGGTTCAACTACGCAACCATTGAAATACCGTTTGAACTTACCTGACCTCTCAGGTAAGAGCCCTCAGATTCATGAATGTTATTGGTTCGTTTGCAAAAAAACTTGGGAATCTTCTGTTTTCAGAAATCATAGTGATTGGACAATTTTCTTCTAAGTGCCATGCTTCCAGTAATCGCACTGTATAAGGCATGTTTTTCTTGTCTACTCTATTTCCCACTAGCACTAATCAGCTCTCCTCTGCAAGATGTGTGTATTTATACTAGGAAATTTTCCTCTGTTACTTTTAAATGCAAGCTGCCAATATTATTTTCAAAATTCTTTTAATGACAGATCTAAAAGAAATCGCAAGATGCTGATCAATCACAGTCTCTTCACAATTCAATAAATTTCACTAAGAACTGACACACCCGAACAGGAATTATTTTGAAGATCACGTTTTTCAAATTCAAATCAACTGTATTAATCTACAAAAGAATCTTTTTGTAACTTAGAACAAAAAAGTTGCAGTCTACTGGTACTTCATACACTGTAATCAGCAGTAATACTGTGTGTTTTCTTTTACCTTGTCACTGCGCGACCATTTTGTTCAGCTGCATTGTACCAAAGGCAAATTTTTACTGGATGTTCATTTCCAAACATTTTAGTTATACGTGTTTTTAAAGGTTAACTAATGTTTAACAATGTCACTAATTCCTTGGTGGCACGGGCTGAAGTTGAATGTGGTATGCTTTTAAAAACTGTGAAAGATCAGTGACATAAGCTTTTACGTGGGTAGTTCCTGCCGTCGATACTTCCTGTGTTTATTTACCAAACTTTATTTGTCAGACCTGGCCCTGCAGTTAAGAAAAATGAGTACCTGTTGAAGTAATATCTAAGTTTTTAGTTTTCTTCCGTTTTTTTACGAACTTGTAGCTCCACTCTTGCTATATATCTTAAGGGCTACATGTACATATACAATCTTTGAAACAAGATATTCAGTTTTCTTAAACTTAGGCAAATCTGTAATGAAGACACACTTGGCTCTGTCACTTTGCTGTCCATGAGGTTTGACTAAAAATGTAGATCAGCATCTAGGTCTATTAATAAGTTCTTTAGGAATGTGGTTAATAGTTCATGGAATGAGACAATTAGTGTTGGGCAATTAATTTTAATTTGGGCAATTAGCAAAACAATTAAGTCCTGTGCCACATTAATTTTGTGAAAGAAAAATTATGAACAGTGAAATAGCAAAAAAGATCTGCTAAGAAAGTAAAGGAAAATTCATGCACACATCAGCCATAAAAATTCAAGCCACGAAATTTGTCCAGCCTCACTTCAAAAGTTACTGTTTGATCATAGGTCCAATATATTTAATCTTTTAGGTAAATATGTTGCACATACAGGTAAGATTGAATTTAGAAAAAAACATTGAATGCACACAGCAAAGTGTCCACACAAAAACAAACTGACTACCACTACCCTATCTTCTAAATTAATATCAACTAGCCGTAGCCGTTGGCTAGGAAATGAGGGTGAAGATGTGATTGATGAAAGCCACTTTCATAATTGTGTACGCCCTTATTTCCAGTGTCAACAAAAGGATATCACCTGATCACGAAAACTAGCTTGGATTGAACAACACATTAAACACATATTTAATTCAAGATTTTATTCACATTTGCCTGGATACAATTAGCCTGCAAATGGTGAGGAGCGTGGAGATTTATCGGCAAAGATACACATACATGTGCATAGAAATAGCAATGCATGACACTAGTAATGCATGTTTAAGGTCATGACTGCATGAAATCTTATTGAAATTCAATCAAATATTCAATCTGTGTCCAATGGCCATAGGCCGTTGATATGCCATACTATGAAACAGCTTAAATTACCACTTGAGTTTAAAGCTTAGAAGCTTTCGCTCAGGTGACAAGCGACATAACATGCTTGGAAACGTACAAAACTAATTATAAAAACCATGCACTGTAGCAAAACCTGAATAAACTTTGATTTCTAGACTTTGGTAACACTCGTATCTAACCGAAAACGTCTGCTGCACTAAGGTGAGATCAGGCTCTACTTTCAGTTTCCTGGGTAAATAAATACCACGCTGGCAAACAAGCTAGGCAATACCCTTAGGCAAATTGATTAACATGCTTTGAATACTCAACATCATCAATCGTGAAAACAATGAGAGAAATGGAGAACAAGTGTTTAACTTTGAGGATTTATATAAGCTTAAACTGAAATCAATTGTGGCATGTATTAAGCTCAACTCACTCTCCCCGAACACTCACTTTTCTTCTTGCACGTCTTCTTTCTTGAACTTCTATGCATGCAGCGATACGCAGCGTTAGTACAGTGAAAAACCCTGCCCTTGCAGCATTGTGAAAACAGCTGACCATTCACATACCAAGCCTAGCCATACAGTTAATAAAGTGCTGCTGACCAAGTCAAGATGAGGCTGTGGACTGATCTTCTTGCCGGCATTTACTTAGTAATTACCTCCCGAAAAATTAATATTAACAAAGCACTGGAGGTGTGCTGTGAAAATACAACTATCAAGATCAAGTAAAATATAAGCTTATGGCTGACAAGTCTTGCCAATGAAAGCTAACATGTTACAACAAATCATAAGAGAGATATTCTTGATTTTCAACAAAAGTTCTTCAGCCTCCACATTTCTTGACAAACTTAATAATCCGTTACTTCCATAACTTACTTCGTCATAGACGGACAGAATATGCTACGAATCGAAAATGTACAAGGCTATGCGAAAAACGTTTTAAGGCTGCACAGTACATCAGCTACATTTTGTATGAATAAACTTTCCGCTAACATTTAACTTTATAATGAGCGTATAATTGATACCCCGCGATCAGAGGTTTCTAATTTCTGACACGGCTTTTAATATTTACGAAGACTTTCGCGTAGCTTGTCAGTCGCGGCTGCGTAAATGTTTACAGCCATGCCAGAAAGAATCCTTTGCTCGCAGGGTAATATAAGCTTTAGCTTTTTATAAGCTTCTTGAAACAAAGTTTTCAAGAGGGAGCAAAGATCGTGCCGAAACTACCCTTTTTTAAAACCACTTATACCGCTTTTTATCCTTAAATTTTACCCACCTTCTTTTCAGTTAAAAAGTCCCCGATCGTCTTGTTTATCGCCTCGAGAATTCCATCGAGAGCTTCGTGAGTGATCCCGTGTTCCCCATGACTAAAATTCCTCGTAAACGAATCGAAAAGTTCGCTGTGGTTCCTGGGAGAATCGCAACGTTGTTGACCAGAATTCTTTTCAAGCGCTGGCAAAAGGCAGTAAACAATCGAAGGGCTGAGCTCTTCAAACTCCGAGGAATTTAAGGGTTTTGACCGTGAGGATCCAGAAATATTGAGCAATTCTATAGGGCTGGAACACTAAAAGAACAAAGCATGAAAGTGAATGCATGTAATGAAAAACCGCGTGGTCGAAGACGAAAGACACACAGCTTCGAAGATCGGTCGGTCTTAACCCAGTTATCTCATCGTAATTTGAGCTCAGTTTTACTTTTTCATTTCACTGTTTCTTATTAAAAATCGTTGTAATTAGTTTTCAGAGATACATATTTTTCGCTAGAAACTTTTACGTTACCAAGTTAAGTTTAAGACGTCCAAGTTTTTCATCTTTTGGGCTATTTCCGCCGACAACACTCATCTTACCCTTCGGTAATCCGGACTCGGTTTGTTTGCAGAGCAGTTCAAGAAATGCAGCTTGTCAAATAGCCTCTGTAGATCATCTGACTTCAGTGAATCACCATTAACAGCGTCCTGCAATTCTTTAAACGAGTAATGCTCGTGATTTCGGCTTTCGTGTGAAAAAACAAACTCGTAAAGCGACAGTTTCAAGTACAAGAAAACGACAATTTTTAGGAAGAACATTTTAGTTTGGGTGTAAAACAGTTTTCACTCCAAAACTACGCCACGCGTTTTCAACTAAAGGTCCCTCGAGCTTTGATAACCTGGCACATGGCCCTTATATAAAAGTAGTCGATATGCATTCGAGCATAACAATATAAGGCGACAGCTGATTGGTTGGTATTTACCGGATTTGTCTGATCTATTTGACGTTCTCTAAAATTAACTAAATTAGGACAGTAAAAGTAAATGTTGAGCTTTTGTTTACTCAGATTAACCCTTCATTCCTTTGTTTCTTTGCTCTTCATTTTTTCTTCTCTGCTGACGAAAAAGGAAAGTGTGGAATGGACTTTGGATTCACTAGGGACTGATAAGCGACTACAAAAAACAAAGCAAACGATGACTTAATTAAAAGATTATGGTGTATCTGGAATGTGTATATACAAGCACAGCGTTGCAATGACACATATAAACTCTGGCATTGCGAAGTCTTTTTATTACCAATTTTTTTATTGTTTTGTACTTCGTTGAACAATGTCTTTTGTACTGAATGACGCTCGCGTTTGAAAAGATCAGAAGAATGATAAATATTTGACTTGGCGCAAGGGGGACTGTCTAGTCTACTGAACAACAACTTTCTCTAAGCCATTTTGTGCAGAGGTTCTATAGGCGCCATGGAAGCTTTTCGTCTGAAATAACAGAATGGCTTTTCAACATAACCATGCTATAGTGCTCATGCAATATTACTGCGCTGCAGATTTTTATGGCAGACATTGCTTAGTAACGAGTTGAATACTAGTTATGAATATATATTTACTTTTATATTCTTTTATTGATTTTCGTTCTCTTACTTGGAATTCCGATCAACGTTTCTGGGTTGACCCGATAAATTGGCCTCTCGCACCAAGAAGAATCTGACGTTAAGCTCATGAATACTTCGTGTGATGCAATTTGTACGCAAAGTGTTAGTTCTTGTCACTATAATAAGGCCGATACACACGAGGGGTTTTGCTCCCGGAGCATGCTCCAGGGGCACGCTCCGGGAGCAAAGCTCCTCCGTGTGTACCAACGATTTCATGGGTATACTTCATCCTCGGGAGCAGAATTTCCACCCCGCAAAATGCTCCATGATATTTAACCGGTTAAATACTTGGGAGCAAGCTCCCGGGGCAAATAACGCTCCCTCGTGTGTACTGATACGTGCAAAATGATCCTGGAGCATGCTCCGGGAGCAAAACCCCTCGTGTGTATCGGCCTTAAGTGCCTCTTTTTGTCAACTGTTCGAAATATCAGCTTTTGAAAATCTTTCCGTTAGCTAATCTACCTAACCTCGATTGTATATAAAGATTAAAAATTTATTGTTTAATTGATATTGAAAAGATGAATCGTCGGAAGCGATAAATAACGTTATCTCTGTTTTATTTGGGATTGTTTGATAAAAACAATACCCGGGCAAAAACAAAACTGCCCCAGCTAACCTAGTGGGGAGGCATTGTTCAGGGGCACCCAACGTCAATGTTCGGAAAATTTAGGGAGCTTAAGCAACGACTACGGGGACGTCAGCGAGAACGGCAAAACAGGAATAGGTTTAGATTGGCAAAACAACAGCTCTGCACGTCCATCACGCTTTTTTGTACATTTCTTTGCCGTCACTGTACGACTACGACGTGAAAATGCCTAATGTCACGTTTTGTGGAGGAATTGCCGGCATTTGACGAATTGAACGAGATGGAATTTGCGCGATGAAGTTTGAAGCAGCGCGTCAAAGCGCGACTTTACTTTGTAGGTGACGTTTTCGTAGCCGTTGCCGTCGTTGTTGCTGAAGCTCCAGGGAGCTTAAGAAGCAACAAAGTAAAGTCGCGCTGATTCAAACTTCATCGTGCTAATTCCATCTCGTTCAATTCGTCAAATGCTGGCAATTTTTTCTGGAGTTAAATTCTGAAAGAGGGTAACGAAGTTCAGGAAAAGAAAAACAAAGTCGTGGTTTGTGTTCACGTCCTCCACAAAACGTGAAATTAGGCATTTTCACGTCGTAGTCGTGCAGTGACGTCAAAGAAATGTACAAAAAAGGGTGATACACGTGCAGAGCTATTGTTTTGCCAATCTAAACCTATTCCTGTTTTGCCTTTTCGCTGACGTTCCCGTAGTGCTCCCTAATATCTGTTCGAGCCCATGAGCTCCTGATTAATTTGTAAATATGTCCTTAGTTCCTCCTGCTTCGATTAGTTCATATAAATCTATTTGCGGGTGGGAAAGTAATGTAAGTAGTTATACATTTAATTTCAATAAAATTTGTTTTTGTTGTTGGTTAGATGTACGTGCCTGCTCATACGTAGTACTTTGCGTGGGGGTAGGTGATTATTAGAGCATTGCATTTTTTAAGTCGAAGCTCTTTTAGGATACGTAGCTCGAGTCATGTACTTTGTATCGCACAAAAATGTCTTGAAATAGAGAAGCAAAAAAATTACACAAAATTGAAAAAAGTAGTCTGGTAAAATAACAATGTAAAGAAACAACTAAAAAGTTTATCAGTTGTAATAAACTGATTGAGGTATAAAAATACTTTTAGAATGGGGAAGTTAACATGGATTACAAACACCAAACTTTAAAAATTTGGGCTCAAGTGTTCATTGATACAGAACCAGGGACTATAGTTTCCGCAGTCCTGATCAATAATAACGGCTAGTTTGCTTTATGTCCCAAGTGGAATGAGAACAAGAACCAACATTCATGACCGCCCTGTGGCATGTTCTTTCGATCGTTTGCTTTGAAACTTTTTGCTAACTGAAACATGGCTCTCGAAAAGGGTGCCTCTTTTGAACAAGAGGACGGAAACTATTTGCGAAAGGGGGCGAAATCGAAATTCGAAATTGCGATCATTGTGGGGGCGAAATCGCTAATCGAAAATGCGATCATTGTAAAAATTAGTTAGACTGTGACGTAAGACCTCACGTAACCGTGATGAACGATGAGTCATCAAAACTCGTCAAAAGTGATAGAATAATTGGAATAACCTGCATGAATAATTTTATCATTTTTGTACCTTACGTATTCGAAAAAAATTGCTTTTTATAATTTATACTACAAGGTCCATATATAATATATTACTATTGTTAGTAAACATAAGCGCCAATTACATTACAAATTACAAATAGCAATCTCATGATTTATATGATAAAATAACGCTGTTTTTATATCTCATGGCAACCGTATTTATATCACAAGTCAGGGTCTTTAAGAATTTGGATTTTGTTGTATACACATACAGATATGCTCATTGCAAACCACTCAAGGTTAATAACGTGAATAATTAAAAATTATAGGTTTCAAGCCTTGATATGTTCAAGTACATTTGCATTAGAGCTTATGACAATTGATCTCTCTTTTCCACCTCGAGATCAAGAAATTCAAGAAAAACTATACTGAAAATGTCAGTTGAAGTTTATTGCGAAGTACCTTATAATGCAGGCAAGACAGCTGCAATTGGCAACTGCTGCCACCAAGGTAAGAAATAGGATTTCCATCATTCTCTTTCCAAAAGATCGTCAAAAATAAAGTTACAAAGAATGAGAGTATATTTTTTGCCTCAACGGTGGAGAACAACCACTGATATCGACAACTGGGTACTGATTTTATTTGCTTCTTTTCAAAGCTTAATTATCGTTAGGTAAAAGACCATAGAAGCTTATTTTTGAAAAGTGAGAATGTTGTAGTTGCCACTAAGTTGAATAAATAATGTCAGATAATATTGATTCAGTTTGGATCAACAAAAGGGATAACAGAAAAGTGAAATATTAAGAAATATTGCTCAATTACTTTCACAGATGACCTTATATCTGACATACGCAGTTAATGCAATAAGAGCGTTTTATTATTTTCATTTGTTTTCATTTTATATAAGTGCCTTGACATCCTACAAGACAAAAGAATATTTGCTAGGGGGCCACCCCACGCAATTCATTATTATAAAATTGCAAAATATATTTTAGTTGATATTTTGTAATCATCTGCCAATATTTCGACATGGAACAATTTCTTGGGATGGGAGGTTCGTCGCCGTGTATACATTCTGAGGACGGTTGATCTGCTGGCTAGCTGAAACAATGTGTACTCAATTTAATATGTACTCAGCTTTTTTTCAGCTTTTCTTGAAAGCTCGCCGGTCTTTCACATGTAATTTACATCCGAAGATGTTGTTAGAATCCTTAAGTGTGACTACTCAAAATATTAGCCTTCGAATTTCAAGAAATACCTACCAAGCTGCTCCTAAACAGTTCCTAACGTTTTGAGTCTGAGTTTTGAGTCGCCCGCTTTTTCCCAGACTTCGCGCGGACAACGGGATACGGGAGAGAACGCCTAAGGACTAGGCTGCTTATAAGCGCAAACCTTCAACGCCGCTGTTAGAGTGATATCGATATGGGCATTCCCATTCCCAAACCCCTAGTAAATGGACATTCCCTTCTCTTATTACCTTGGCGATTTGGGTTAGGGTTAGGGTTAGGGTTGAGGTTACTAGGGATGCCCATATCACTTGGGTTTTAAGAATGGGGATGCCCAAAACGCGGGGATGCCTGTATCACTGTGACACCGCCACTTTAGAAACGAGAAGGGGACTGGAGCCAAAATGCGTTCCGCAGTTGTTTCTGGGATAGTTCCTGGGGTTGCACAGGTCAGCTATTTTCCCCTGACCTTATTTTTAATCGCACGGAGGCTTAGTTTCCTCCTCCTTTTTAAAAAAGTGACGAATACAAGGTCCCTTTTTAATTTAGCCAGTGTGACCATTCAAACTTTGATACTTTCTTGTGAAGTAGCTTTTATATCGATTGATTTCTTTGGAAGGGTAGTGTATAGAGCTTTTCACAGATGAAAGTAAAACAATTGGCTATTTCCGAGTTCCCCCGGGCCTCTGTTTCAAAGCGAGGGTAGGTGCTCAGCCTTTGATATGGAAATCATTTTTCATTCTCATGCAAATAAAACTCATTTTCACAAGAAAGGTTGTGCACTTGGCCTCATTTTGAAAGTGACGGTTTTTGGAACTCGGAAGTGGCCTATTGTTCCGAATTGTGGAAAAAAAAATGTAAATTCCTTTTTTACCCACGAAGCACTTAAGAGTTCATATGAACTCGTTTAAACGTGTCCGTGCGTTCCAGATCGAATTGGAATTTGAAAGTGTTTGTTTTTGAGGAGAGGGGAAAACCGGAGTACCCGGAGAAAAACCTCTTAAAGAAAGGGAGAGAACCAACAACAAACTCAACCCACATATGCCGAAATCAAGTTACGATGCGAATAGACCTTTCCACGGTTTGTTTTGACTTTTAAAATAGACAAGTTAGGGAAAATCCGTCGACGCCACAAGAAAGAGCGAACTAATAAAACTGCCAAATTTGAAAGTGATACGTCTTTAGAGTGATCCCTTGTTCGCCATGACTGAAATTCCTCGCAAACGAGACGAAAAGATCGCTGTGGTTCCTGGGAGAATCGCAACGTTGTTGACCAGAATTCTTTTCAAGCGCTGGCAAAAGGCAGTAAACAATCGAAGGACTGATCTTTTCAAACTCCGAGGAATTTAATGGTTTTGACGGTGAGGATCCAGAAACATTGAGCAATTCTATAGGGCTGAAACACTAAAAGAACAAAGCATGAAAGTGAATGCCTTTAATGAAAAACCGCGTGATCGAAGACGAAAGACACACAGCTTCGAAGATCGATCGGTCTTAACCCAGTTATCTCAAAGTAACTTGAGCTCAGTTTTACTTTTTCATGTTACTCTTTCTTATTAAAAATCGTTGTAATTAGTTTTTCGCTAGAAACTTTTACCTTACCAAGTTAAGTTTAAGACTTCTAAGTTTTAGTGTAAAATTTTCATCTTTTGGGCTATTTGCGCCAACAACACTCATCTTACCCTTCGGTAATCCGGACTTGATTTGTTTGCGGAGCAGTTCAAGAAATGCAGCTTGTCAAATAGCCTCTGTAGATCATCCGACTTCAGGGAATCGCCATTAACAGCGTCCTGTAATTCCTTGAACGAGTAATGCTGGTGATCTCGGCTTTCGTGTGAAAAACCAAACTCATAAAGCGACAGTTTCAAGTACAAGAAAACGACAATTTTTAGGAAGAACATTTTATTTTGGGTGTAAAATAGTTTTCAATCCAAAACTACGCCACGCGTTTGCATCTAAGGTCCCTCGAGCTTTGAGATTAACCGTGCATATGGTCCTTATATAAAAGTAGTCAGTGTGTATTCGGGCATGACAATATAAGGCGACAGCTGATTGGTTGGTATTTACTGGCTTTGTTTGATCTTTGACGTTCTCTAAAATTAACTAAATCGGAACAACAAAAATAAATGTTGAGCTTGGTTTTACTCAGAATAAAATGTCGAAGTTAACCCTTCATTCCTTTGTTTCTTTGCTCTTCTTCTTTTCTTCAGTGCTGACGAAAAGGGAAAGTGTGGAATGGACTTTGGATTCCCTTAGGAACCGATGAGCGACTACAAAAAACAAAGCAAACGATCACTTAATTAAAAAATTATGGTGGAATGTGTATATACAAGTACAGCATTGCAATGACACATATAAACTCTGGCAATGGGAAGTCTTTTTATTACTAAATTTTCTTGTTTTGTAGTACTTCGTTGAACAATTTCTTTAGTAACATTTAAGCTGAATGACATTTGAAAGAAGAGTGATAAATATTTGACTTGGCGCAAGTACTGTCTAGTCTACTGCACAACAACTTTCTCAAAGCCATTTTGTGCAGAGGTTCTATAGGCGCCATGGAAGCTTTTCGTCTGAAATAACAGAATAGTTGTTCATCATAAACATGCTAAAGTGCTCATGCAATATTACCGCACTGCAGATTGAGATTTTTACCGCAGACATTGCTTAGTAACGAGTTGAGTACTGGTTATGAATATCTATTTACTCTTATATTCTTCTATTGATTTTTGTTCTGTTACTTGGAATTCCGATCAACGTTTCTGGGTTGACCAGATAAATTGGCCCTCTAGCACCAAGAACTGAATCTGACATTAAGCTCATGAATACTTGGTGTGTTGCAATATCAGCTTTTGAATATCTTTCCGTTAGCTAATCTACCTAAACTCGATTGTATACAAAGATTAAAAATTTATTGTTTATAATTGATAAAGAAAAGATGAATCGTCGGAAGAGATAAATAACGTTATCTCTGTTTTATTTGGGATTGTTTGATGAAAACAGTACGCGGGCAAAAACAAAACTGCCCCAACTAACCTAGTGGGGAGGCATTGTTGACTGATTTCACGGTTATTTTTTTTCCTGCATGATACCCGGCATGCTGTATTTTTAATACCTCTGGGTCAATATGTCAAGAAAATATCTCACATGCTACTCAGAGATAGCGCTATAAAATAACGTGTGCCGGGGTCCGAAATCCATGGTCATGTTTTTGTTAATTAGACTATTTCGAGTACGAAAGACATGGTCTATATTGAATTCAGCTCGGAAGGTTTCGTGAACGTATCCCTTTATCGAACGAGCAATTTACTTTGTAAATTCTTAATTACTATTGCGACGCCCAGAGGCGGTTTTCTTATCGTAAGCACCTGGAACTGCGGGCGGTCTGTGACATATACCGTGGACAGTTCTACTCCTTCTTTGATGAAGAAGCATGCAATGCTTAAGTCTAAATCAAACGCGACGTTAGACCCTTAAGAGTGTGCACTTAACAGTCTAAAACTACGATGGATGTTATCATCATCATCATCATCATCATCATCATCATCATCATCATCATCATCATCATCGTCATCATCATCATCATCGTCATCGTCATCGTCATCGTCATCGTCATCGTCATCGTAACAAAATAACAATGAAAAGAAACAGCCAAAAACTGATTGTGGTATAGAAATGCTTTTAGAATGGGGAAGTTAACATGGATTACAAACAACAAACTTTAAAAATTTGGGCTCAAGTGTTCATTGATACAGAACCAGGGACTATAGTTTCCGCAGTCCTGATCAATAATAACGGCTAGTTTGCTTTATGTCCCAAGTGGAATGAGAACAAGAACCAACATTCATGACCGCCCTGTGGCATGTTCTTTCGATCGTTTGCTTTGAAACTTTTTGCTAACTGAAACATGGCTCTCGAAAAGGGTGCCTCTTTTGAACCAGGTTCATAAAACTACACCGATAGCACGAACGGAAACCATTTGCGAACGGGGAGGAAATCGAAATTCGAAATTGCGATCATTGTGAAATTGCGATCATTGTGGGGGCGAAATCACTAATCGAAAATGCGATCATTGTAAAAATTAGTTAGACTGTGACGTAAGACCTCACGTAACCGTGATGAACGATGAGTCATCAAAACTCGTCAAAAGTGATAGAATAATTGGAATAACCTGCATAAATAATTTTAACATTTTTGTACCTTAAGTATTCGAAAAAAATTGCTTTTTATAATTTATACTTCAAGGTCCATATATAATATGTTACTATCGTTAGTAAACATAAGCGCCAATTACATTACAAATTATAAATAGCAATCACATGATTTATATGATAAAATAACCCTGTTTTTATATCTCATGGCAACCGTATTTATCTCACAAGTCTTGAACCAGTTTATTATAATTGTCAATGCTCCTCTAAGAGTTGAGCGCTCTCTGAAATACATTCAAATCACGTTCAAGGTCTTCAAGAATTTGGACTTTGTTGTATACACATACAGATATACTCATTGCAAACCACTTAAGGTTAATACCGTGAATAAATTACAGGTTTCAAGCCCTGATATGTTCAAGTACATTTGCATTAAAGCTTATGACAATTGATCTCGCTTTTCCACTACAAGATCAAGAAATTCAAGAAAAACTCTATTTATGAAAATGTCAGTTAAAGTTTATTGCGAAGTACCTTATAATGCAGGTAAGACAGCTGCAATTGGCAACTGCTGCCACCAAGGTAAGAAATAGGATTTCGGTCATTCTCTTTCCAAAAGATCGTCAAAAATAAAGTTAAAAAGAACGAGAGTATATTTTTTGCCTCAACGGTGGATAATAACCACTGATATCGACAACCGGGTACTGGTTTTCTTTGCATTTTTTCAGACCTCAATTATCGTTAGCTAAGAGAACAAAAAAGGTTATTTTTGAAAAGTGAGAATGTTGTAGTTGGAACATTGTATAAATAATGTCAGATAATATTGATTCAGTTTGGATCCACAAAAGTGATAACAAAAAAGTGAAATATTAAGAAATATTGCTCAATTACTTTCACAGATGACCTTATATCTGACAAACGCAGTTAATGCAATAAGAGCATTTTTATTGTTTTCATTTGTTTTCATTTTATATACGTGACTTTATAACATTCTACATGCATGACAAAAGAATATTTGCAAGGAGGACGCCCTACGCAATTCATTATTATAAAATTGCAAAATATATTTTAGTTGATATTTTGTAATCATCTGCCAATATTTCGACATGGAACAATTTCTTGGGATGGGAGGTTCGTCGCCGTGTATACATTCCGAGGACAGTTGATCTGCTGGCCAGCTGAAACAATGTGTACTCAATTTGATATGTACTCAGCTTTTTTTCAGCTTTTCTTGAAAGCTCGCCAGTCTTTCACACGTAATTTACATCCGAAGATGCTGCTAGAATCCTTAAGTGTGACTACTCAAAATATTAGCCTTCGAATTTCAAGAAATACCTACCAAGCTGCTCCCAAACAGTTCCTAACGTTTTGAGTCTGAGTTTTGAGTCGCCGGCTTTTTCCCAGACTTTGCACGGGCAACGGGATACCGGAGAGAACGCCTAGGGACTAGGCTGCTTCTAAGCTTCAACCTTCAACGCCGCTGTTACAGTGATATGGGTATCCCCATTCCCAAACCCCTAGTAAAATGGACATTCCCTTCTCTTCCCTTGGCGATTTGGGTTAGGGTTAGGGTTAGAGTTACAGGGGATGCCTTTTAAGAATGGGGATGACCAAAACGCGGGGATGCCCAAAACATCAGAAACGAGAACGGGAATGGAGCGGAAAAGCGTTCCGTAATGGTTTCTGGGATAGTTCCTGGGGACGCGCCGGTCAACTTTTTTTCCCTGACCTTATTTTTAATCGCAGAGGCTTAGTTTCCTCCTCCTTGTTAAAAAAGTGACGAATACAAGGTCCCTTTCTAACTTAGCCAGTGTGACTACTCAAACTTTGATACTTTCTTGTGAAGTAGCTTTTATATCGATTGATTTCTTTGGAAGGGCGGTGTATAGACCTTTCCATAGATGAACGTAAACCAATTGTTCCGAAATCAAGTTACTATCCGAATAGAACTCTTCACTGTTTTTTTAAACTTTTGACATGGACAAATTAGGAAAAATCCTTCGTCACCACTGGAAAGAACCCCCTAACATTAGTGAATAAAAAAACCACAATTTGAAAGTGATTCGTCTTAAGCGAGCGAAGATTTAGCTCTCCGTAAAGTTGCGAAAATTTACAGACGTTTTTATAGTCTATATAGCTATATCTTCGTTTGTTTTGAACAAATCACTTTCAAATTAAGTAATTTTACTAATCTTAAGGCGCTCTTTTCAGTGGATTTTCCCTAACTTGTCCATGTCAAGAGTTGAAAAAAAAAACGTGAAAAGGTCTATTCGGATAGTAACTTGAATAAAGCAACTCGCCTGTGAGTAAAGAAGCTTACTATACACATATGGCAGTGTTAGGGTACATTTTTGCTCAGTCTGCTTTATTGTATGCGCTTCCCTTCGTAATAATTAATATTATTCATTTTTTCTATTTATTTCGGTGTTGGGCATTTTAACTTTATTCAGGGATATATATTATATAAATAAATTTGTTTTTAGGTCGTTTCGAAAATCAAAAGTTCCACCATATCTCAAATATCTTTTGTTAAGGGACAAAGGATGGTGTTTACAAGCTCTCAGAACAGCTGAACACACTTTAGATTTTACTAGCAAACCTTTGCTGGTCGGTTAAGTCCTTTGCTAAAAGATTTTTGCACCGACCTCTTTGGTGTTGGGGGCAATCAAAAATAGAAGTTGGACGCACGGTAATTGCAGGAAACATAATAAGTGTAGTTTCAGTCTTTTACAACTAAAGGTTTAACTGAGGTT